ATTTATCGAACGTGTCTCGCTCTTCTTTCTAACAAGATTCGTTTCAGGTTTTGAACAGTTTTGTTTCGTTTGAGTAATTACGCGTGCACTTAATGCCTCGTCGGAATTGAAAATTACGTAAAAAGATTACGACGCCGGAGGTATAGAAAATAACGTCGCCTGATAACGATAAACCGTGGAGCGCACCTTTTTCCACTGTCAAGATACAACAAGGAAAAACGTTCAGTGGTCGGTTTCGACTGGTAAAATCGTTTGGCGCGAGCGCTAGGTACACACGATATACCCAACAAGAAAGATCTTGTTCACGACGATTCCGTTTGGAAGTAGCAGCGGTAATTTGGTTATTTGTCGAGAAGTCAACGGCCTGGTATCTAAAACAAACACGTGTCTTCAAAGGTTCCTCGAGTGAACAGAAGCCACAGAAAGACGAAGACAATGTAGAGTAAAAAGAGAGACGAGGCCGCCGCGTGGGAGGCCAGGGAGGAAATAGAGAATCGCCTGCGAAGTCAATATAGAAACACTAGAAATAGAAAGCCCCGGGATAATTTCATAGAGAGATGTCGTAGCCTTATCAGTTCTCTACGGTTCCACGTAACTTCATTAGGCCCGATCCAATACCGAACACGAGAATCCGCTGCGAAATCCAATTTCTTTTGTATTTCATCAAGAATTAGTTACGCTCAGGATCGTTCGGAAACGTTTAACGACTGAACGAAAAGTCGTTCGATCTCGGCGTAATAAGAGAGCTTTTATCGGTCTCTGAATTTAAACGTATCGAGCCGCGGTTGCGAAATACTCTCGATTTATAGCGAATTCCGTGCGAAAGATTCGTTACGTTTCATTCACTTCGGCGGCGTCGTACGTACTGAATTCCCACAATGGATTTCTCGACAGCGAATCACGGAACCAGTATATTCTCTTAATGAAAGCGGATGGCTAGACGAAAAAGAAGACGAGAAGACACCGCACAGTCTCTTTTCACCGCTCTAAAGATAGCACTTCCTCCTTGCAGACGCACAAGCACTTTTTGCGCTTCTACATTTGTGTCGGCGTTAAATTGTGGTCTTTTTTTTCACAGTCGTTCTCAACTTAATACTCGGCAAACCGAATTTACATTTTCTGAATACGACTTCTGTAGCAATTAAAAGAGAAGCGAAGTATCACGAAAATGAAATATATTTAAAGTGAAAACGAAATATTGCATAGATTTTTATGAAGAATTATGCTAACGTTTTTAATTATTCATGACTCCATTTAAAGAAGTACAGCAAAGATTTACAGAAGTCAAGAGATAAATGTGAGGAAAATAAATAGGGAGTGTTTTCAAGAAATAGGTATAACCTCGTCCCACTTTAACGTGATAGATAAAGTTCTGGATTTTGTAGCGAAAATAGATATCGACTGATAAGAGTGCTCTGTGAATCTATGAACGAACTTCGATGTTAAAGAGATACATAAAAATTCGTGTTACGGTGCATTAAACGACGGTGAACGATGTTCATCGTTAAATCAGATACACAGAGAGAGAGTGTCCTCGGTTAATGTTGCGCAATTAATGTTAATCATTTTTGTTGCACGCGTGCTACTCGTCTGCAAATATACGATCCCTCCGTACGACGCGTAATCATCGATAAAACGAGATTTTCAAAGAGATTACAGTAGTAACAACGTTTGACACGATGTAGTGAAATTTATTTTATCATAATGAGATCTGGAATATCCATGTAGGATTGTTTTCCTCAAATGGATTATTATTATTAACACTCCAAGACTAGCCGGTTGTCAGAGTAAACCGAATCGCAAAGTTCCATCAGTGTCGGTTACCGGTGCACTGTTAACAGGTAACTTTTTTCGAGGGCAGGTGGTCTCGAGCAGGCACGCGACAAATCAAGCTGACCGAACCATGAACAACTGCAAAACCGCGATTAAAATACGTATGTGTATATACGCCCTTCTCTCTCCTTTTTAATCCAAGTTCCAATCAGTATTAAGTGCAGTAAATCTACTGGATTTAAATTGAAGATATTATTTAACTATTTCGTGGAAAATAGTAGAATTGTCATGTTATCGAAATGTTACGATCAATTTTCTGTACGCAAGATAGAATATAGTTTTGATGCAAGGGTCCGATCGTAGTTGATAACTCGTTGAGGTGATGGACAAGCTTAGGTAGCTCTCGGTGCATTAATATCCATGCTTGTACTCCGATGTAGTTTAACCGCGACTAGCCTTAGGTTAGTTGGTCTAAGACGTAACACGACCCACCAAACTAGTTCTATGCCGAGCAGTAACGTTCTCCACGCACGGCATTGTATCCAAGAATCGACCCCGCATACATACATACGTGTGTGTACCGCTGCTGCAGAGCAACGATTGAGCTTTCTGTATTGCTAACGAAATACGTACATAGAGGGAGAGGAAATTCTCTATGAATCGCTCCAATGTTCGTGCCGCGTCTCTTTCTTGCAACCCGGCTTCTAAACAAGCCGACCGTTCTCCCGGTATTCCTGGCTACATACGTGTTCGCCCGCCGTTATTCGACATTTTTCTAACTGTTCACATCTACGTGAAACCTTGTAATCCAAGTATCTCGAAATTTTTATTTTGCCAGAGACACGTGATTTTTATTGAAATTTTATAATTGACGTCTGATTAATCGCTTGCTTAACAAGAATTATTTTTATTAAGAATTTTTATTAAAGTAGAATGAGAGATACGGTGAAAGAGTAAAGTGTGAGAGTTCGGTTTAACGGCACGAAGCCGAACATTACGCGTCGATTAGCATCTCGTACGTCAGACTGTCACGAACCTGACAGTGATTCGTCTTACGGACGTTCGACACGAAAGGAATCGTTTCGCGATTACGTGCACAAATGATCTCATTAAAACCCGGGCGTCGTCGGTAAGATGATTTAAAATGCGATTTGACGGAAGAATAACGCGAACCATGTATTAATTACGCGTCTGTACTTTTTCACTTGGATGATCATTAGCTTCCGGAAGAGCATGAGAGGAAATTACACGTGGACGATATCGATAGCGACGAGAGTTAATTTAGTGAATCTCGTACGAATGCGCGTAGACGTCACTTACGAAGTCGTCAACGGAATTTACGATCTGGATTCACTCGATTAGCATGGCCGTCGTATATGACGAGTGTGACTAACCGATTTCGACGGTCGCGTTCGAGATGAAGTCGCCGGTATTTTACGATGTAAATTTTAACCTTGAGCCAGTGGGGAACCATACGTCACGCGTACAGATGCGACCTTGACCACGTTTTTTCGGCCCGGGAGAATCGGTGTTAAAGCGAAGGCGTGAGTCGCCGGCCCTAAACCAGAATCGATCTAACTTTTTCAGAGAAAGTTGAAATTCAGTACGGAGGGTCAAGATTTACGAGATCGTTTTAAGAAAATATTGACAAGTCGAGTTATTCCTTCGACGGGTTCTATCCAGCCGATTTCTTCATCAAAAAGTAATGTTAAATGAAATTATGGATTTCATTGACTAATCGTTGGCAGTTTCGTCTCTATTGATTATATTATCTTTAAAATGGGTTTCGACTAAGATTACTTCATTCGTACTTTCGGCATTTCTGAATCGTCGGAAACAATATTTAATACTCATTGCAATGTACGAATCCTAATCAGTGCGATTGAATGTTGCTTCTATCAGCTCGCGATTACATCGCAATTTTTATTTAACGTTCGAGTCACTACGAAAGGAGCGAGGCTTGATAATCGTATCGATCAACGACAGCGAGCTGGCCGCGGCGAGCGATTTATCAGAAATTTATCTTGAAGGCGAAACCCACACGCGTGACCTTGCCGGTACAACCGGCTCGGCCATCTTGCCTATGCGTGCGCCTCTCCACCACGTGGATAAGTTTTCCACACGACACGAGCAATCGTAGTTTCGGCTCGCCGTGTCATTTTCAATGGAAATTTAAAAATCGATGATTCGACGTACGCGAGGTATCGTTGCGCAATTAAACGCGAGGAACAGTTTCGTTTTATGCAATATTATGCGAAGTATTCAATAAGAAAGAGAAGATGTATTTTTTCGACGGAAGCATTTTCGAGGTCGCGGCCAGGGGTTCTCAAATCGATAGATAGCGCGTCCGCCCGTCCGTTCGAGACGGTCATTCATAAGCGCGTTTTACGAGGGAACATTTTGAATCACGGTATATTTAACGGGACGTGATCGATCAACGTTTCGTCACATTTTCTGACCGCGGTAATCGAAGCGAATATAAATGTCAAACAATGAACGTTGCATCGCGATTGTCGTTTCGTCGTTTCGACGTAATTGACGATCGATTCACTGAACGGCACGATGAAATTATCTGTTATTCCCAATATAGGTTAATCGTGAGAACATTTTAGTACAAACATAATTAGATTGAATATTTAGATTATATACAATACATCGATATTTCGATGGAGGTGGGGAAGGATAGGTGAAGAGGCAAATCGTGTAAAGCATGATATATACAAGCGTGCAACAGTTTAATATATTTCTACCAAAAAAACATCTTACATACTAGTGTCAAAGAAGCGAGTAAAAAAGCGTAACAATTCAGGCGCATAGAATCTTTTTATGTACAACAAAACGAGTTCGTTTTCCTGGCTGCAGATCACTGAAGGCTGTACCTAAATCGTGACAAAGTCGTAGAAAGCGATAAAGCGTTTTGTACAGTTTTAAATAAATCGTCGAGTCTCCGAGCCCGTGTATACAATGTATATCCTCGTTGCCGGTGGTTCTCCTCCCTCGTTCGGTCATGGTACGTGACAGCAAGCCCTGTGATAATGCATAAGCAGCAGAAGCAGTGAACGCAGCGAAATATTGTCATAGGAAAATGGCAACGTGTATTTTTTATTTACAACGAGTTAGCGTCGACGTAGGAACGGTCGGTAGGAGGCTAAAATCTAGCGGCGTAACGAAAGCAGAAATCGATTTGTACAGCATTAACTCGACCGTTGATTCTTAATTGAACTCACCGTTAAGTTTGTCGATCGCGCGATCCGCTACCGATTGATCGGTACAGTCGACGAAAGCGTAGCCGCCCCGTTTCACCAGGATCGTTGTGCACGACAAATTATGATCCTGAAACAGCTGCCTGAGAGCACTCTCGTTACAGTCCGACGGCAAATTGCCCACGTAGAGCTTCGACATGGTAGTTGGCTCGCTCTTGGACGCTATGGTGGCGGCTTTTCCGAGATACGTCTCGGTCACGTGGCTTGAGAAATTTACGACCCAGTGGCACGCGGACAGACGATGCGTTCGTCGCTGACGATGTTGTCCACGACACGTCAACGAAGGTGTTCACGACGCGTAAACGGTGGACGACCGAGTATTTCGCACAAACGGGGACCGGGGGGTGTGCACCGTTGAAGAACCGTGGACGAACTCGACGATGACACGATCACCGCACGCTTCTCGACACGTCGAGAAATCGTAACTGTTACCGTTGGCAGGACCGACGACTACACGTACGCGACGCAAACGTTGACGACGGCGACGACGTTGAAAATCCTGTTATCACGCAGGAAGAAACGAACACGAGAGCGCGCTTTCGTCAGGGTCTTTTCCGTGGACTCGTACGTATCTTTTTTTTTTTTTTTTTTCGTTAGAAGTCACGATCTCGACGTCTTGGCGAACACGATTGTCTTTCTCGCGTGATACTCGGCGGTGATTTTACGCGCTTGCACACCAAAAAAGTAAAGAAAGGGACGACACAAGGAGGTTTTCCGTGAACTTCTTGAACGATCTTCCAAAGCGCTCTTGGCTGTACTGTCTTTTGTTTCCTGCCTTTCTTCGTTTCGTGTAGATGCGCTGTCTATTTCCCGCTCGCTCCGAGATTACAACGACTCTCTGTCACGTCGACTCGGCATCGGTAGTACTACACGGACCTGGCGTTCTCTTCCGGTGTGGCAATGGATCTCTCTCGAGCCAGCTCGATCATGCAAACCGACGTGGACTACTGCGACGACCGATCAGGCGACGATGACGACCGTGTCTTCTCAGAAACGACTCCAACTTTTTTAAGGTTAAGGGAAGCGCGTTGGTCCGTTCTCTTGACGATTCACCGTGTGCCCAGCGACTCCTCCTCTCTCTTTCTCTCTTTTCTTTCTTCTCTCGTTGCGACGACGACGCACCTTCTTACCAGGCTCTTGTCTCTTTGGCTAAACCACGACACGACGTTTGAGGGGCACTCTCATTCGGTCTTTTCTATCTCACTCTCTGTTCCTCGCCGGTTCACCCTTTCTCCGTTACTCCTCCTCGATCCTCTCGTTCACTCTTTCGTATGTCCTGGGGGGTAACGCGATGCAAACTCGTCACTCTTCTCTTTTTTTTTCCACGCTCCTTCCTGCTCGCTCCTTTTCACCAGCTGTATAGTCTTTTCGTCTCTCCTCGCCAGCGCGTGCACCTTCTCACTCTTTTTTTCCCTCCTACCATCTGTCTTCCTCTAGCGACTAGATGCTCGCGAGTGCTAAGCGGGAAACCGACTCGAAATTCGCGAGCGGCCCGACGGTCATTGGTCAACGCCTGACCACGTGGCTGCCCCACCGGCTCCCGCCTCTGCCGCCGATTGGTCAGTTTTCGCACGCCGGTTTTCGCAGCCGGAAACGTGCCTGTCTGCGTGCACGTTCGGTTTCGCGTGCATGCGTGATCGCCCGGTTCGCTCGCTCGCTCGCTCCTTCGCCTTTGCGTGCACGCACACGGGCATGCGTGTCGCAGAGCAGAACACATGCATATCACACGCGTGCCTCCGTCTGTGTCCGCGCGAACGCGCTCGCCGACTCTTTCTAGCGCACGCGTTTCCCTACTCCTCCTTAACGTCGTTCGGTTCCTGCAAGAATCTACCGGGTGTTTTCGGCGAACGGTAGCACGGCGAACGAGTTCCTTGCTCTCCTGCCGTTGCCGTGTATTCATATTGAAAGATAGTTGCGCGAATCTATCGGCCGTTCCTTTTTTCCTGCTAAGCGCCGGTGGGAATGATGAGACCCGGCGAATGAATCGAAGATCCGTATCTTCGCGTACGATTTGCATTTATATAGCCGACCTAGGTGATACCTGCAGCAACTATTTAGAGCCTTCGTTATGCGCATCCCGTACGGTTACTCCTCTATTCTTTCGGCTCGTTGCAAACGGCTGATTACTTAAGTGACGTGTAAACGTAACATTGATTTCGATGAATTATTCAAGTTAACAGAATTCAATTCAAATGATGATTCATGCTGCACGATACTTAAGTTTAGATTTCGAACTTTGGGAATTACAGCAAATAACGGTAGATATTTTTTTCAAATAGATTTTATCAATTCAATGTGTTTCAAATATTTTATAGATCAATTTCTGAAAATGTTTAGTTGTGTTCGTCGGGCTAATAATTTGATCAAGATATTTAGAAACGTTAGATTTGCGATTACTGTACACTGTGCATGGATAGACAAATCCGTTCTTACGTTAGAGCAGCGCTATGCCCACAAAGGAGTGGAGTGAGACAGCTGCCTGTGCCCAGGGTCAGGGTGCTCAGGGCAAGAGGTTGGCAGAGGAAGAAACTTCGTCCATGTTGTTTCTATTCACCTGCCTTTCGCGAGTAACGATTAATTAGCTAAAAAGAATTGCTATTTTTGGAATAATTGGACTCCGAATAAAAAGTAGATAACTATATCTGCTCCCGGGAGTAATAAAAATAATACGTAAAACAATATTAATCTCTGTACGAAATTATAATTTATCAACGTAAATAGCTATTTTCAGAGATGTTCATTGCAAGCAGAATATCAAACTATAATTTTCAGAATTCATTAATTTTGTTAATAACGTATATTCTAATAAACTAATTGATTGTCTGATAAGTATGATAAATAGTATGCGTAGGGACTATAAAATTAAATCTCACGCTGGATTTGGATGTACGAATGAATGGAAAAGAGAGTAATACTTTTATTGGAATAAAAATTATGTTCCCGAAATAGAGAATGAATTCAGTTTATAGTGCAGTACATTTCGGCGTGCCATCCGGTTTTCGTCTTCCCCTACGTACCCCTCCAATTTTAGAACGCCTATTCCTGCTCTCCGGTAGCTTAGAACTATTCGATTACCCCTGTCCACCGTTTAATGGGGGCGTCCTTACGTACGGAAACAAAATTTACCTACAGGATATTATAAACGCACTTGCAGCTCGTCGAGCATTATACTGTCAGCATTTTTCTAAACACATTTTTCTAAATACATAAAACGCTTGGTCCAACTATGACCGTGAGAACTATTTGGAAATTACAATTCCGTACTCTACAGAGATATATCAATTTATAGTAAATGAGGGTTTCGTAGAACGAAATTAGAGTAATGGAACGATCTTAAATTTGTTTTTCTGACCTCGTAAGGACAGTGCAAACAGAAGCGGGTAAGCGTAACGGAAAATGGAAAATGTAATCTCTTGGCTTCGCAGCTGCTACAAAATATATATAGGTTCATCATAGTACGTATTATGTGGTTTTATTTCAATCAAGCGAATCAGCAAATAATATTTGGGATTTGGCATAGGTTTCTAGTGTCTATAATATATGTTAAAAGTAAACTCAGTTCTACTGTAATATCTGAACTGTGTCAGTTTATATTGAAAAATGATTCAAGCGAAAACTATTTATTTTATATATAAATTATTATGCAAATTACAAAAATTTCATAAGAATATAAAGTAAATGCAATTACAAAAGTAAAACGCAGGAAAAAAAAATACTTTAAACAATAAGCGAATTTCTCGATATACAAGCATAGCGATTCTTAAGAAATTAGTTAATTGATGACTTAATATTTATGTTGTGTTAAAAATGAATGAATTGCATTTTCTGAGCTTAGAATAAATTACCATCGCGCTATAGCAGTCGATAAGTTAGAATTTAGGAGATCTTTCAGTTGCCAGCACAGCAGCTGCGGTTTCTATGCCACATCGAAATTTTGTCCCGTACTTGTCGCTAGAGGGTTTTTTGGCACGGAAAGGAAAGTACTTTATATTGCAAACTATTTTAATTATAATACTTCATATTTTCCTATTTATATTTAATAACCAAAAATATACAATTGTGATAAAATCGCAATAGGAAATACTATATGTATTACATCCTTCGTTACTTTATTATAAGAATAGAAGAATCATTTTGCATTTAGACGAGGAAGCTTATAATTAAATAAAATCAAATTGGAGTATTATACGATTTGTATAAAAACATGAATGAACAAAGCCAGTTTGAATAATTAGTGAGGCTAATAAGGCTTATAAAATATTTATACATTCGATCATTAGATCCTCGCATTTTATGGAACTATTTTAAGATAATCTCTCTTATTTAATTAAACGCAATTACCGTAGAAATGCAATCAGTCTTGCTGGATTTTCCGTACCAATCCACTGCACAGTGCTTTGTATCGTGTCGGGCGATCGATTCGGAGGACGCTGAAAGTTTTCGCCCTAGCAAGATCTAATCTCTCGACGTTCGTTACACCCTCGCAAGTCTGTCCTTTTCGTAGACAATTTGGAACAGCCTGTACCAACAGGCCTAATGAACAGTTGGTTCCTATTGGTAGAAGGCGCCTGCGTTTAGGCCTCGTTATGTTACGGTAGCGCAGCTGGCATTGCCCCGGATGGCCTCCCGCTCCCCCGTGTCCCTCTCCCTTTCCCCCCTTTTTCGAAACGATCCTCGTGCCCCCCGTCCTATTTCTCTAGCGATTCTAGCGTTCTCGGCCTAGAAAACTATTCCCCGAGCAATAAATCGCCCCGCGCGTAAGAATAATCGGATGAAATACGAGCAGCACGTACCGCTCGTTACATGCGTTTCGTGGCCAAAGTCCGACGGTGAGTCCCTTCTTCACTGAATCAAATTTTCAGAGTGAAATTTTCTGTGTCGGTCCCGGGAAACAAGCAATTATTCTGTGAACCGACGAATTTATGGTACGAAGCCCGAGGGGTAAACCCAGGTTCTGATTAGACTCGGTGATATTTTTATTCATGATTATGCGTTTATTAGGCGTAGAAGTAGTGCCGGCCATTTTTCTCTCGAATTATAACTTTATTAGTATTTGAATTACAATGAATCGAAATCGATATAAGAATTTAAATTCATAGTTACGAGTAATTAGATCGAAACTTAGAATCTTTGGAAAAT